ATAAAAGTCAGGCAGGAACTTTTGTGGACACTTGTGTATGGCTAAGATACATCATATAGCCGAGAAATTTTGAAACTGAAATATAGAGAAGAAAAGAACTAGTAAAAAGTAGTTATGGCAATGAATAGTACAGAGGATTCCTTTATATGCCTACATAACGTGGAAAAAATAGGTAAATCTATGCTTTGAAATGAATGTTCAGAAGACCTCTACTTTTGCCACCACAAACCTGCAGACATCGAGGGACTACTTACGCAACTTGACGTAGCACATTCCACACAACTTGAGCGAATTTTTAACCGATCTTTGCTCTCATTTTTCCAGTTCCTCAGATCGGCAGCCTAGATATTATCTTGGCTATAGGTTCTGCATGACTGTCTTCAGATGTCTTCGATCGAACTAATTTCCACAAAATGCCCTTTGCATGTAGTTATTGTAAGGGAGGATGGCACCTTTTCATGTCGTGCCACGTTGAAATGCCGTTTATATTCCCAATCAACAGCACCCAAGCTGTTACTGTTCTATTAATGTACTTTTAACTCGAACGCGCCATGCGCATCCCTCTACCGCTTCATGGTAATTAAATGGCAAGATGTTTTTCGCAGGTTTTGTGTGTTATGAAGCGCCACCCGCCTAATCGTGCTAGCATAAAATTCAAAATTTCCAATCTTTTTGAAACACGCTGTACACGAAAGTAAACATGTCATATATAGCAGAATTTGAAAATATGAAATACAGCATTGAGATGCTATAATGAATCGGGGCAAGATAAATATTTACAAATAATAATAAATGATAAATATTATAGCACACGTTTATTACCAGCACATTCTGATCATTTTGCTCAAAAAGCAGACAACAGATTAAATATAATTTTTTGGAGGACGAGTCATGAAGGCAACATGCGGGTTTAGCGAAATTATTTCGTAATCTGTGAAACGTCCCTTGGCTGCGAAGCATGCTGCTATACGGCTAGATAAGGAATGATACAGATTCTTAATATTATTTTGTCATAGATATTTGTCAGGCTTTTCTTAACTGCTGTTCCAGATTTTAGATACTGCGTACTGCTTGTACTTGACAGATTAGCATGTCACACACATGTTCAACTGCCAAAAGATCTGGCACTTTGCAGGAAAAGGAAAAGCTGAAACAGCACTAAGAGACATCAGAGGTATGCTAGCCACACGAAACTTTGTCTTATCGGAAAAACGGCTCGGTTATCTTGTCGGAAAATGGTTCCAGAGTGACTTGCCGCGAAGAATAACCAGGGTCTTCGTATGTTATCAACATACCTCTGCGTTTTCAAAAACGTACGTATGTCCACTTAAGGGTGATTACTATAAGAGATAGTAATTCATACCATCACATCATGCGTACTGGCCATATGCCTCTGCGCAGTGAGGACTGTCTGGGAAGGCCAGCTCGACCTTCTGCATATGTAAATGCGTTAATCACTCGCCTAAAGACTGCATAAAGATCCATAACTGACTCAAAGAGGATTAATAATGATCAGTCACAGTGTCATTCCAAACAGCAATGATGTTGGGTCTGTAAACACAAACATTTTAAAGGGAAAATTAAGCGCAGTCTTGACTCAGTAAGTTGTCATGAAGTGTTAGAAGTTTTATATCATAGCATAAATGACAATAAATGGATGAACTTTTGCGATAGATCTATACTTTGGAAACAGCATGGTGGACTTCTAAGATAACATCCAAAGCTTTATTCTTTCATTGTCGCAGCAGTTATTGCCAGCGGTTGTGCAGCATGAAATTGGCTGCATGAAATACTGATTTCTTAGTATACCGCTAGTAATCTGAGGCTATAATTTTAATAAGGTAAGCCTAGCATGCCTTACATGTCCAGTAAATATGGCCTTTATATCTTTCGCACTTCGTAGTATTGCATTTGGATGGGCAAAAGTGACATTTTACTAACACAGCAAATTAATTAATTAAAAAAAACTCTATTGAAATCTAAATTTCAAGCTATCAAAATGAATTCTTGTTCCCAATAATATACCACAAAAGAACTTTAATTATTTGATTCAGATTTTGAAAACAGTGTTGTGCGACCGATGAACTTTGGTTTGGACGTTTTTAACAGCCTTCCCTTGAACGGCGACAAATGATGTGCCTTTGTCGTATTCGCAGACGATTGAAAGGTGGCAGCGGAACGGTAGAAAATTTTGGGGTTCCGGGGAGGAAAAAAAAAAAAAAAAAAAAACCACGGGAATAATGCTCACAGGTATAAATGCTCACAGGAAAAAAAAACTCACACAGAAATATGCCCACATAGATCCCCCCGGGGGTTGACTCAGGAGACGTCCTGGGAAGTACTGGTTAGATTGTACCTAGGCAGTCTAACACGGGGTACATAACACTCTCACAGGACTAGAACCCGAGTATTGCACTCAGTAGGTTCGGGCGTGGTAGGACCGTATCGGTACTGTCGGTCAGTTCCCTCTCTGTTGTGGAGCAGATAAGTAAATAAAGCGGGTTTCGATGGGGTTTGGCCCTCATATCCAGTGGCGGACTGACTGATTAGGCGGCACCGAGAACGAATAACTGCTGCTAGGGAGTGTGCCCCGAGGCAAAGGGACATGGTATATTGTTTTTTGGACTTCGTGATTTTTCTACTCGCCGAGACGAGTATAAAGCCGGGCAGGGACTGTGGGGTCTGCGCTCACTGATGAGTCTCATCAGAGCCCTTTCATCTAAACTTGTACGGAATTCAGTCGAAGATCAGTCTCTGGCCCCATGTCCCATGCCCACTAGAATGTACTCACATGAAAAATGCTCAATAGAAATATACTCAACGGAAAAAAGCTCACATATATAGCCACAGGAAATAAGCCTACTGATAAATAAAATATGTATAAAATCTTTACATTATCACTCAATAATATCGTTTGACATCGTAAACCTACTTGATTTTTAAAAGAAAATTTTGATCATTTGAAAAAAATATGGACAAATCTCATATAACTTTCAGAGGCAGTATATAAAAGAATAAAAACTATAGAAAATTTGCATGTACTGTAATATTTTATATTAGCCCTTGTATGACATTTTTTCCCTTACCACCAAGAGTTTATTTTTTTTTTTATTTTATCTATTTTGCATACTTTGAGTGTATCTATAAAATTGATGTCTGATGTAGTATTAAGTTGGAGCCAAAACTTCTAGAAGACCACAGTTTCCAATCGAAGTGTGGAATCATTATGAAGCAGCCTCCGAAAAATCTCCTAAAACTATAAATCGTTACGAAAGCTTACATAAGGTACTAAATTCATTATTTAATTGCAGCCATCCCAGTATGTGGTTTTTATTTGACGGCCTGAAAAAAATTTAGCCTGTCAAAGTTTATTATTAGCTATTGTAAAAACAGGGTGTACTGAAGTTTAAAAGAAAGAAAATAGGAAAACTTACATTTAGTAATCGCGAATCATGTAAGATACTTTCATGAAATCGATGGTAAAATTAGATATATCCATATATTACCTAATATTCAGTAAGTTAGTAGAGACCATTAGGTATTTGAAGCAGAAATGAAAAAGAGCAAAGCCTCGTCGGGAATCGAACCACGACCTCTGGAATACGCGCCCGCGTGCAGACCCCACACCACGAAGGCATGCAAGAAGGCAGGAAAATACCTTATAAGTTATGTGAATATATATTTATGATTTATATATAACAAGGTATTTAACGTAATTTAAATAAAATTATTTTCTATTTGCTATTCGCTTAAATTTTTATATTATAAAATGGTAACTTATACGTACTATTGTTTTATTTTTTAACAATTAAAATTGTAATAATTTTTCGCGTATATTCTGTTTCATTTTTCCTTCCTCCTCTCTTTTTCCTAATTCGAAACAGCCCATTTGTTAATCTTATATAGCAACTAAATCTACACATAAGTTATACGTTTTTTGATCTTTTCAAATTTCCAATTTTGTTTGTTTTCGCAGTTTAAATTGTTTAGTAGTTATTACCGTGGTCTTTTTCGCGTAAACTATAAATGCTTTAGTATTGTATTATTCTTTATTCTTGGCGTTACTTAGTACTCCGGAACTGCAGTATCAAATGTACCTTAAGCATTAGCGAACTTTTACTTTCCTCTTCTGTGCAAATATATATATATATATATATATATATATCCCGTAGATGTTGGGTAAATTTAAATAATTTTTCTTAAAATTCAAGTAGGTGTACGATGTTCAAATCGATTAATTATTGATTGATTAACGTAAGGATATTCCTACGTATTTTATTTACCAGTGGGCTTATTTCCATGTGAGCATATATCTATGTGAGCTTTTCTCCGTGTGAGTATATTTCTAAGTAAGCATTTTTCCAAGTGAGCTTTTTTCGATGCGGGCATGTTTCTATGTGGGCTTTTTTCCTGTGAGCATTATTCTATGAGTATTTTTCCGATCACTTTATTTTGTTTATGTATACGGGGAAAAGGAGAAAAGGTTTCAGTCTCAGACTGAAAGGAGTGTTTGAACTATAGTTTCTCGTTATAATTTATCTATATAATCACACTCTGTATGAGTGTATTTTCTTTCTTTCAGATGTTCGAAATTTATTTCGTTGTCTTTAAAAAATAAATTTTAGATATGTGATCTATAGATTTCGGTGACATGGTCTGACTCATATCTTTGTTTGAAAACATATGAACATGGTTTGTTGAAAAGACTTCTTTGAATTTATTAGAACTACGTTTTGAAGCATGTACTGTCAGTTGCAGATCTGTATAGTAAACACGTATCGTTCAATTTTATACTGAGTATTTACGAAATAAACCAGGTTTGAAGAAACAAACAGTAAAATGGCGAAGAGTTTTTACTTTTTTCTAGATGATCGAGTTTCGTCAAAACAGGAATAAATTAAGGGATGCTTTGGCCTAAATGAAATATCAAAGACATTTTGAAAAACGCAGTTGGAAGTTTTTAATAATTTACGTCGATTAAGTAAGAAATTCACACAAACCTGAGTTAGCCACCCATTTGTCACTAAAATCTGATTCTTTTCATCCTGTAAAAATAGAGTATTATTTCATTAGGATTTAAAGTTTTCATACTGAAGAAAGTAACAAGCATGCTTAAGATAACATGAGCAACGCATAAGAAACAAATCTCGCAACAATTCATTGTCTAAAAGTACAGAATAATACATAATCCTTCCTTTTCATTTCTTAAAAGAATTAGAAGATAGGTTTAATAAATCGCCAGGGAAACTTTCTTTTCATTTGCTTTCATTTTTTAAAACAAAAATGATATGATTTTCAATTCATTATTTATAATGCATGTCCCAAACAAATGTTTGAGACATACGTTATAAATAATAAATATCAGAACTTATAGAGCAGGGGTAGAGGGCACCCCTGTGATTCTGAATCATTTAGCAATGCAGGGTCGGAAATGCTTTCCTGACGCGCTGGTGTACACAGAAACGTCAGAAATTAAAAGAGGCCAGTAAAGTTAAAAGTAACACGAGTCAAGGATAGTGTTCTATTTCAGGCATATCTCGAATTTCCCCAGCAGCTACTGCGATTCGTGCAACCAGCTTTTCAGCGTTCTCAACGGGGGGGGGTCATAAACCAGTGTCTTCATATGCCCCCACAAAAAAAAAAATCAAGACATGATAGGTCTGGTGATCGAGCAGGCCAATGCACCGGACCACTAGGCCTGACCCACTGTTGGCCAAATCTGACGTCTAGGTGGGTATGAGCATTATGGCTGAAATGGCCAGGGGCCCCATCGTGTTGGAACTACGTTGTCTGTCGCATCGATGCAGAAATATGTTCGTCATTTAAAAGTTTTTACATGAGTTGCTGCAGATTGATCAATTAATTACAACCGATTAGATGAAAGGGCAACAGGTAAGATCCGATGAGGTGATCCCACACATTGACGGCCCAAACATTAACGGAAAACCGATTCTGCGCTGCACGATGTAGTGTTGTATGAAGGTTCTCTACCGTCTAGAAATAAGCGTTATGTGCATTGAATATTCCTTCCCTTAAGGATGCCTCATCCGTCAGCATACACATTAGCGCGAAAAAGGGGATCTGTAGCACACTTTTCAAGATACAATTATGCAAAAAACAATAAGGTTGCTTAATCGCCCGGTTGAAGCTCCTAGATACGCTGCACGCGATACAGATGCATTTCGTTTTCTTTGAGAAATCTTGCTGGAACGGGATGAGGTACGCTTCGCATACTCAAACTTGGAGTCCCCTGTACCTGATGCAGCACTTTTTCTTCGATGTCCGGAGTCCGTGCTGATCGTGCACGATTCATGGCAGCTCTTTGAAAGGAGCCTGTTTCAGCTAACCTCTTGCGCAGCCTTGCTAAGAAATTGTGGTTGCGTGTACGCCTCATAGGATAACGGTCTGCGTACAGGCGCTGTGCGGTTGGCCCACTACAATCTGCAGCCCCGTATGCTAAATGCATATCGGCTAACTCGGCGTTCGCATAAGTGTTCATCGTACTAACTCTGCGTTGTTGTGCGAATATAACGATTCCCTGAAAGAATTCTCGAACTTTCGTGCGACCACAACTACCGTGTCAGAAAAGCATTTCAGACCCTGCATTGCTATTTGATTCCGAGTCCTTGTAGTGCCCCCTATCCCTTCCAGAAGTTCTGAAACGTATATATATATACGTTTCAGAACTTCTGGAAGGAGGAACTTATATATATAATATATATATACAGCGGTGGCCAAAACTGTGGACATTTTTGGAAATTTTTATGTTTTTGAACTTTGTATGCTTATAGAAAATGTTACGTTTCGCAAAATGCAAACTTGTATATATCATTTTAAAGAGAATTTATTACTGAATTCAATACAAACACAAATTCAGTTATTTTCAATACAAAAAAAGTTATATGTAACTTTAATATAAATAAAAAACCAGTTATGAGTGGTTTGTAATGTCTAGCTTTCCTGGCCAATACTGTTCTTGTTCTGAGAACCAATCAAATGTTAGTAACTGCCAGTAGAAGCTGATATCATGTTTACACTTGAAACAATTCATTATTTTGCTTTTTTCTGTAGAAGGAGAACCTGTTTCTTATACACTGCAATTACAAGTAGGAATTTTTGAAAATTTTTGATATTTAGTCCAAGAAGCAATGACATCAAATAAAAGAGTAGATTGGGACACCTAGAAAGAGATGTAATAGTATTGTGTTACGAGAAAGTGGTCTTTCCTATGCTGAAATTGCAAGACAGGTGGGTGGTTCAGTGACAACCATCTGGAAGTCCGAAAGTTTTGTTACGATATCAGGAGACAAATTCAATAAAAACAAAGAAGGAAAAGGCCGAAAAGGTGCTCCACATCTATTGATGACAGAAGAATAAAAGACTAGTCTCCAAGATAGAAAAATGTCATCAGCGGCCATCAGAATAATCTGAATGATGCTGGTGTTTCTGTCAGTTCAAGAACAATCAAGAGAAGATTAACAGATGTTGGACTGAGAAGTAGAATTCCACGAAAAAAAAGCATTATCTTAATTTTCAGCAACGAAAAAACTACAGTGGGCAAAGGAAACACATTAATTGGACAGATGATCAGTGGTCGCAGTTATATGGAGTGATGAAACAAGATATCGTTATTCGGTAGTGATTAGTGATGGGCGAAATATGTAAGACGTAGAAATAGGAGAAGAGCTACATCCTGACTGCATTCAAGCAACTGTTAAGAACCCAGTTAGTGTTATGATTTGGTCATGCATGTCAGCAGATGGTATTGGTCGCCTTCATGTCATCGATAGGACACTGAAGGCCAGAAAGTACATTGACACTATTCTAGAACCAAAACTTTTACCTTCCATCAGAGATCTCTTTCCCAACAATGCTTCGTTTATTTTTCAGCAGGATTCTGCAAAAATGTACCACTCCTTTAGGTTGTATACAGTAGCAAATGAAGACTTCCAAAATCATTTTTCAGACTTACCATTTCCATATTATAATTAAATAACACACTTAATTCAAAGTGAAAAAAATACTTATTGTGTAGAAACTGAAATTGAAAAGAAACTGTATCTAAAATCTAAAATAATTTTCTGGCTTTGCATGTAGTCTGTTTGCTTCAGTCTATTAAGAAATATAAATCTATCAAATTTCGCATCTAATGGTGATGGCTTTCCGTAACTAATCTCCTAGTGTGTAAATGTGTATATGTAACAATATGATTTCAATCAATGAAATTAATACTATTTAGATTTCATCGTAACAGGCAAGTGTGTTCAATGTTATTTCCAGACTAAAGACTAATGCTTTCCAAAAATGAATACATTTCAATACGAAGGTAAAGATCTTCGTGAAAGTTAATTAACTCAGTTAAATAATGCATGCTAAAGAAAACCAAATTTAAATGAAGAAGCGCCATATGAAAGAGCAAAAATCTTCCGACATCAGCAGGCATTATCTCCAAAGAAAGATACATAAAGTAATATCATGGAAAAATTCGTTAAGGATTTTTCTTGTAAACTTCATCAGTAGCTTACTCAGAAATAGGCAAGCTTTTAAGATTATTTATTATCATAGGAAACTTTTTGGTTTACAAGCTAAACTGCTTCTTTTCTCCTAAATTTTAGATATTATCTTTTCATTTGTTTTACTGCTCTAAAGCAACACAAAATTACAAGAAACAACGAGCTGGCCTGAGACTATCTTATTATTCCAAAAGTTTCATGTCAAATGTTTTCATTCATATGAGATTCAGTGTTATTATTTCCCATTTTATACTATTTTAGATTTAAAAGATTATTAAAGACTATTTAAAGTGCACGATTGAAACTGTTTAGTTTTCTAGAACAAAACTGTAAAACCTCATTCGGACGACTAACCTTATAAGATATTGATAGATGATTGATAGATGAACATTCGCTCAGGTATAATGCAAGAATGGCCAAACATTTCTAAGTAATGACAGACCTTTCAGAGACACTACAAATAAGCAAGAAGTATGCCGGCCGAAATAAAAATGAGGATTATATGGCTGCATTTTGTTGACGAAATTAAAGAATATTATAAAGCAATAATTTTATTATTTTAAGTAAATAAAAAAGAACATTAAATGAAAGCAACTGATCTTTGATTATTTGAACATTAACTCTTGCCCTTAACTTAGAATAGATTGAAATGGAATTCAATAATGTATTTCATTGCTATAAAAAATCTCGAAAAATGCGAAATATTTCTTTTAAGAAATTATTAAGTGTCGACAAATCTGAAACACTAAATGTATACTTAAGGAAAACTATTAATAAGATACTACAAAAAATAAACTAACTACTGAACAATGTTTAACTAAGTGAGATGAACTTACTACGTCTATTATTTGATACAAGGCCATGTCAAAAGCCACTCGAAGAGGTTGCGAGGCATTGAATGCAGGTCTGACTGCAGGATCATAATTAGACATAAGATATCTGGTTAATCTGTACTCTTGCTCATCACACTGTATGAAGTTCACTAGAACGAAACAATACATAACATATACATGCAAAATAATATCATTATAGATCAAATACATTCAGTGAGAATGTCTCAAAAGGCGAATGTTTACAAAATCAATAAAGTATGAAAATACAGGCCTTTTCCCAAAACAATCGTGACGATTTTATTCCTCTTTTTTCCCCTAGAAACAGACTTTTTGCAGAAAATTGAAATTAAACTTCTAATACAGAAATGTTCTTGACACTCGACATCTTAGTTTTGAAAACAATAAAATTAAACAATATTTCATAGTTTCAAAATTATGCTAAAATATTGATGGCTAGTTTTAACAGACGGTAACAAAACTAGTGGCATGTCTTGGAAACGTACAAAATGAGATGAAAGTATCTTCTAAAGCAATGGCAGCAATATATTCTATGGCTCAAGAGAGGTAATGAGAATAATAAGCATTTTAAAAACTGAAAAAAAGAATTAGTATTAATTAGGACCTGAAGTGTACGTAAGGGTTTCTTAAAAACGACAGCTTTATATGCTTTCAATAAATTGTAAGATAAGCAGCATTAATTCGATGATTTAGTTATTAAGCTTGTAGTGATTAACTCCTGTGTGAGAACTGTAAGAGTAGTAACTGCACAGAAGAAGGGTTAAAAGTATCCTTTATTACACTCTTTAAAAATGTACAATGCGTCAACTCGACGCTAAAAAACTACGCCTCTGCTTGGGCGGTAACTGAAATCAAAGAACTAACTAAAGATTTGAAGATATGTACAAGTAGTAGAACTACATTACAGGGTTCAGACAATACCTGTTTATTAAGCCCCCGTCGAAAACTAGTGACAGCAAGTAAATGCAGTTAGCCACGCGAACCAGCAATATCTCTGGGAGCAGACGCTTACGCAACACAGGGAACGGCAATAGCCTAACTCTCTCTCTTTCCTACTGAACCTCGGTTTTTAACAAGGAGGTTAGAATAGATTCTAACCTCCTAACCTATTCTAACCTCCTTGGTTTTTAAACTCTTTCTTCAAGGTAGCATAGCTTCACGCGCGCTACCAAATTTAAATATTCTGGCATTGACAATTAAACGAATGAAGGCTCATAGGAAACTTAAAATTAAAACTTGTTAGTTTAAAAATAAATATAAATCCCTACAAGCTTAATTATTAAATATTTTCTTTGTAGGTTTTGCTAAACAGTCCATTTTCGATGACTTTGTAGAGTCATTAGGTTATGTCGATGCAGGAACGTGAAAAATTTGCAGGGGCCTCGCAGGGATTCGAACTGCTGACTTCCCGAATACGCGTCGAGCATACCACGAAGGGATGAGGAAAGGACGGAGAAAATACCTTATAACTAAGTTATCATCCATAGTTTATTTTAGGCTTACGTATAGTTATCATTTAAAAATTAATAGTGAGCCCTGTTGGCGTGGTGTTAAGGAAATCGGTTACCACAGCCTTGAGCCCGTTTTTGAATTCCGGAGAAGGTACGTATATTTATAAATGTCTAGCACCTTTATAGCATGAGAGTCCCTTAAAATACTCCTGAGATGAAAATCCTCTCGAGAAGTTGGTTGAATAGGAAGACGGGTGGCAAACTCTTTGATCCGTCATGTTCGGAAATCTTCTACTATAATTGATTTAAGTTGAAATGGAGCTGCGGAAGCTCGCACCATCATTTTTGTGGTGTTGGGATACGTGATACTTCTGCCTGTGCGCGCGCATAACGGATTGAACTAATAAGGAAAGATTGTGTGAGTTTTTATCGCGCGCTCAACGATTTATGATATAATCAATGTTCTATTTTTAGTTGGCGTGTTTATGAATGTCTTAGAAAATGGATGTCTAGTTTTGATATTTTGTATTAACCTCTTTGTTATAACTTGTGCACAGATTAAAGCTTTAAAAAGCTGATACTGTATGTATTTTTGGATATACCTGAATGAAGAACCCGATGATTCAGGTAAGTGCTGTTTATTTACCTACTGTTGGAGTGCTTTCCGCATTAATTAATATTGTCTATTCATAGGGAACCCAATATATGTTGCCCATGGCCTAAGTCAGCGAGAGGCGCAACCTCTGCTTCTTGCTCACGATAGAATGAGCAGGCTTGCTTTCAGTGTCATACCTGCATCCAATAATATGGCATAGAGAGAAGCAATGCATTTCCGGATAGGAACATAACCATTGTTTTTCCATACCCGAATTTTGCATTTTCCTTTGATTTAATACTTCCTTAAAAATTTTATATTAATGTTCACAGCTTTAATATTACCGCTTTTCGTTTTTTATAAGTGGCAATATTCGACCAAACAAGTACACTTGATATTTTCACCTATAATGCTTAACCAGCTTAACTAATGCTGAATGAACTGAACAGTATCCATTTTATTTGAAAAATGGCCGTTATCTGTAGCTTTTGATACTGATAACTTTATATAACAAAGCAAATTTCGGAAAAATATCCAGTAAATTTTAATTCAGGGAAATTCTTCAGTTTGTTATCACTCTTAGCACATCAGTGACAGGGGATATACCTATGGCTCAGTATTATACAGCGTAAGGCTTTGCAATGATTTTAAGTGTTTTTTTAACTTAGAATTACTAATTCTAGTACCAAGAAAGACTACAATGTCTGAAATAGTTTCATGGCTTTCTTAATTTCTCAGATATCAGCTACAGTTTATCTATAATAAGCGGAAATTTAAGTCAGCTGGTAAATAAATTGAAAGACTTCCTTTCGCTTATTACTTTATTTTAGAATTTCCTTTTAGAAGAATCAGTTTTCGATAGATATACTTATTTCCCAATCATAGTTTGCAAATGGTTTGCACTTTGCATTAAATTACATTTGATAGAAATTTCTCTCAGATTGTATACCTGTCTGTGTGGTTATATTATTATATTATTACAATATATACTACATTACAATTCAGGCAACAAATGAATTATTACAGACAAGCTGATGAAGATTACCCTTCTGGAAAGGGAAGTTTCAATTAGAAAGTTTCTTCAAGAAGGTATCGATTTCCTTATGTGGATAAACCTCCTGTGCTTTATCTTATTGAAATTAGGAAACAGGTAAATGAACCTTCTGGGAAAGGATGTCTTTGTGGAACATTTTCTAATCAGGATTTGCATTAAATGCAGAAGAAAATAAATTAAGATAACAACCGTTCTAAGAGCCATGTTCTAGAACGGAAATCGAAATGACAAAGTTTATTTACATATTCAGCTTCTGGAAAATGCTGACCATTAAAGCGTAAAACATTTAAATTGGAAATCTTAAGTTTAATTTTCATATTATCTCGTGCTAGATAATTGATTTCGACTAGTGGATTAATTGCTGAAAAATTCAAAAAATATATATATTTATCATAAACGAATAATGTTGCTTTCCTAACTCATGTTTACTATTTGGTAAAAATCACAAAATTTCGAAGCTTCTGTTCGTCGCTAATTTCATTAGTAAGTTATTACAGTAACTGACATCAAAAATTAGTTTTCCTAGACTCTCTGAAATGATATGAGAATATGGTTTTTAATAATCTGAGGTCATTTTTAAAGTCTCTATTTTTTTTTTTTTTTTTTTGAAGTAAATGATCAAAATAATCAATAAAACAGTATGCAATCTGAAATTTTGTTTATTATGCTTGTTCGTGCATTTCAGGTAACTTATTTCACATAGTTATACTCACATATTTTTAAACATAAAAAGTGAAAATGTATTGGAGTTTTATGTATTATGCCGCTACGAATTTTGTATAATGTAGCATGAACGGCTTCAAGAAAAGCGAAGTTCTACCGGAAAAATAAGATTACGGAAGCAAGTCTCTTTAACATTGAGGTAAATGGCTATCTCACAAAATTGGCAAGATATCGCTAAGCTTGCGATGGTTTTGGCGACTAATTTTTGTCACCGAATTTAGCGAGAAATTGCTCAAAGTCGCTAAACTTGGCGACCATTTGGTGACATTTTGGTCTGGTCCCTATATAACTGTAAGTGAATAAATTTAATTGATTCGCAAATGTAACCGTAACCCTTATATGTAACTTTAACCGTATATGCCATCCAGTAATTTCGAGAAATGGAAAGTACTGGAAATATCTTGGCGACCGGGAGAAAAACCATATAAGGCCGGAGACAGCATCAGTTTCTTAGTTTTCACTTCAGAGTAGACTTTGGAATAATGAGAGATAACCGTGCAAGCTTCACTCTTTAGAGACTCTTTGCATTGCGTTGTGTTTAACTTTCTCGGTAGTTTAAAGTGGTAACTACTGATTTTGATACATCCTACTGAGAAGAGCTGTACGAGTACTTCTGTGAAAAGTTCCAGAACTGTGAAGTTATAAAATAACTTCACAGTTCGGAAAAATAAATTCTATCTAGTTGTCATTGGTTCTGCGTGCATTCAATCCATTACGAACCAGTACGCTTGCAATAATATAAATGTACAACAATACTAAGCTTATGTTATCGCAGTTGGTGCATGTTATAATGTTTAGATAAAGTTCTCAGTTTTATGAACCTACGAAAATTGAAGAATTAGAAGAGATCGTACTTACTTGAAGCTGTCCTACCGTTTAAAATGTGTTCTCTTTTATGAAGTATTTCATAATTTAATGCACTCTTTTGATCCGTTTTATTTCCCTTCAGCCAAAAGCGATGTTTCGGTTTTCAGTTTTCTTTAGATCAAATTTGTAAGTAAAACTGCTCATTAAAAAGGTCAAATATTATTCTCGAAGTTCATTTTAATCTTTTAGTAATGACACAAGATCTTAGTAATGACATATACTGAACTATTTAATTGAATTTGTTAAACTTGAATAACAAAAGTATGGTGAGTACGCAAGTTAAATTTCATTAAATATGAATAAAGTACAGCTAAGAACCAAACTTAAACTAAAAAAAATCTGTAAAATGTGAAGGAGAAATAACTTTTTATATTCTTAATCTTTCTAGTTCATAACTTTTATTTTAATCAAAGTAAAGTGATTTATAATTATCCATTTTTT